TATGTATCAATGCATTGTATTTGTTCATAAATATTGATTAATAAATATTTAAACGTTAGACAATAATAAAAAGTACCTTATATTTAAGTTTTCACCTTATAAAATGTACGACTGAAATTTTTATCGTATGTTGTATCAAGTAAGATCTAATTGTTTTCCCTATTATAAAATATTCATAAATATTACCATTAAATTGTTTTTAATAGTAGTAGCTTGCAAAAGATAAAAATTTAAAATTAGTGTTTAAAATTAGTAAAATTAATGTTCCAACCTAGCATTAGTTGAGAGAAAAGAAAGGGTGTTGGAGACTGTTTGACTTTTTGACTCGAACTGCCAATGTTTCGATAGCTTTAATTTACCGCCCGCCTTAGCCGATGCTTGGGAAGAAGTCATGTGGAGGGGCCTTTAGAAATGCAGTATGCGCTTCTTCGAAAAATATGGTTTATTTACAGTCACACTATTTTTTTTTTATTGGATTTATACATTATGAAAGGGTAATACACTATATTCAGTGATGTCCTTGTAGTTTCTTATAGCTCATCTTGTGTTGAATAAGTTGTCATCTCCAGATGCTCCTTGAGATGTTGTTGTTGTTGTTGTTGTTGTTGTTGTTGATCTTGTAAGGGTCAGTGACTGATTATGAGACACGCTCCTTATTAGTGAGTGTGATTTGTGCTATTAATAATAGCGTCATGTTAATCTTGGTAAGGACAGGCAATAATTTAGGTCACAAAGACTTTGTGTAGTCAGAGTGATACAGCAGTCTGTATGAGTGATCTAATCCTGGGATGAGTAGTTCACCATTATTAGGATATCCGGGAGTGCGTGTCTTGGTAGTTTCTCTGGCTCTGTCGTGGTATGAGGGAGCTAACGTTGATAGCTTGCAACTGTAGCACAGGAGGGTTGATGCCTGATTGCACCATCATATCATCTGGACGATAGTTTTGAAATACTGACTTGAGGGCTTTCTCCAATGCTTTCCTAATGTAGTAGCGAGTGGTGCTCCTTGGAGCACTTTTTGTATTTTATGGAGCTTTTGTAGGGACCTATGTGGTCTCTCAGGCAAGTGAAGCCGGGTCCGTGGCTTCTTACCAGATCGTGTCTCTTCAACGCTCACCGATTGTAATGATTCTGTCCACTGGCTTGACTGTGAATTTTTTTACCGATACCTGGTAGGAATTTGACGTTCTCCTAGCTGACCTGGTTCGGAGCTGTGCTGGCCTAACTTGGCGCTGCGCAGCGGCACTAACTTTATCCGTCTCTGAGTCCATCTCTTTCAACATCCTCATCCGAGACGTTAGAAATTCTTTTAATTTTTCAATGCGTGGCTACGAGGTGGAAGAGCTAATCGATGACTCCCACAATTCCCTTGTGACACGATCGAGTCGATGAGAGGTGAGGTATACAACTAGATAGTTCCACAGTTCTTCGCCATTTCCCATGGTTTTTAGTAGTACCATCGCTGCTACCATACTATTGACTAGTTTTTCTAATTCTTCTTTCTCCCCTTTAATTTTGGTGAAATCGGGGAAGGCCTTTCTGAAATATGATTTAAATATCAAACGTTGGTTATCATACGGAGCTGTTAACGGTTCCCAAGCTGGAGCAAGGGAATCGGTGCGAAGGTGATGCATTTTCTCCACATTATTGGTCTCATTGTTATCCAAGACTAGTGGCTTAGAGAGATCATGAAAAGCCTACCAATATTCCTGATTTCCGAAGAAGTTGGGAAGATTGACGTTTGGAAGTTGGGCTCCTTGTGGGTGTGCTTTGGTTGGGTTTGGTTTGGGTCTTTTATCGTATGAATTGTCTTTCTCATATACATTTCTCATCAGGTAATCGTGATTGAGAATAGTAGCTGGCCAGTCCACGATCATGCGTGCATGATCCGCGAAGGCCGTCTGCAGCTCCTCCATGTGTGAATTGCATCTAAGATTTCATCTGGTGAGATGTCGTACTCTAATGTTTTGTGTTCCTCAGCCAGTTTCCTCAATAATGCATTGCGGGACCATTGAATTTTCGCCATTACTTCAAGCTCAGCGGGAGGGTGTGTTGGAGAAGCACTCCGGAGTGCTGATCTCTTAGAAGTCTTGCTGCTCTTACCTTCCATGTCATCCCTGGTTGCCATGATGATGTTGGATTGCACTGTAGAGAAGTGGGAGGTCGTTAATCTTCGGATGCTTCTAGTGTAGTATCATGTTATGCATAGTATGCAGTGATAAAAATGCAAACTGCTAATTTTTCGAAGTTTCATGTATACAAGGCAATTGCGAGATGCACTAACTTCCACTATAATCCTGCTCGTTCCACTAAAGTATGCTATCCGGCTCGAAGGACCAAATGTTCGACTGGCAATAATGTAGGTCGCACAGACTTTGTGTGCTCGCGGTGATACAGTTGCCTTGATCCGATCCTGGGATAATTAGTTCACCATTATTCACGCTCCAAATGTTCGGGAGCGCGTGTCTTGGTTAGTCTGGCCCTTTCGCGGTACGAAGGAGATAACGTTAACACCATTAAACTGCAGCAGAGGAGGGTTTTGTATCGTGAGCTCACTTAAAGCTTGATTATTACCTTATCACCGTTAAGTGACACACTCCCTCCTCCCTTGGCTTCTCCACGTACATATAATATTTTAACTGTGTCGTCCCCACATTTAAGGCCTCTGACTCTTAATTCCCCACTCAAGGAGCGCCTCTGTCCTAGTTTTCTCCAATAGGAACGCGCCGTACTCGGTGGCACGACTGAGCATGCGCACCTCTCTCTTCCGACTTCAGAAAGAGTTAGGCTTTGACAGCGACAACATCGACAAGGGCGCCTCTAGTGGCAGCACCTTCAATTAGGAGGCTCACTTTTCTCTTAGACTTAGCCGAGAGGAGCTCCCTGGTCAAGCGTCGCCGTTTGGCTTGTACAAGCTGCCACATGTGGTCGACTTGATAACAATCGATGAGTTGTGTCTCGTTACATCGTTAGCATTGCGTGTGACGACTATTAGCTACAACGATTTTCGGAAATGTTTATAGACTCGATTGTTTTCATACATCTGACACTCTCGAAATGTTCTTACAATCTAGCACAAATAGCCCCGAGGCATCTTTGCTAGGTGAGAACAAAGGGGTCGATCATCGCGTGACCTTTCCCAACCTCCAACAATCGCCGGAATTTCTGCCCAAATGATAACATCCGAGAGATTCTCTCGAAGATTATACAGGCGAGCACTAATGGTAAATAGTGGACGAACTACTAATAATAACAATTCATCTTTCGTAATCTATTTTACTAACACTACATGCACGAAAAAATGTATGATCGTTATATTATATTTGCAATGGACTCAGTACGAACAGTTGTTGCTCACTTTTACAAATCAAATTAATGTAAGGCAAAATTGTTGCCTCCTTACTTGCTGATTAATATATCATAAGAATTTATACTAGTTGAATTATCGCATAAACAACCTGTTGATCTGTTGTCTTGGTTTAATTGATATGAAAAAAAAGAAAAAAAAAAGAAAAAGAAAACGTTGCTCTTTAATCTAAGCTGAAATAATTTTAAGACAAGGCTGCTTTTTATATTATATGAATAGATATAAAAATTATATTAGTTGAATTGATACAAATATACTATTATTTGTTCATTATGTCAATTTAAACATTGAATTTAAAAGAAGTCATTATTTACTACGTAACTTACTTTTTCAGTTAATGAAATTAAAATTTTTTATTTTTTAAAATGCATTAATTAATATGTACAATATAACTGCAACTGTCGAGATAATTTTAATAAATTGAAACATTTCATCTTTTCACTTTAATGCTGTAATTATTTATTTCATATATTGCAAATCTCAAACTCTGTATTTTACATTTTGTGATAATATTATTCTAAATTTATCCATCATATGCAATATTATTAATTATTTAAATTTATGGAATATCGAGAAACATATTTCCAAATGAAATTTCCAATGCCTTAAAATGAATTATAAAAATACTATAAACAATAGACCAATAAATTTATTTTTTAATATTTTTTCAAGTGCAAAATTGATGGATTGTTAGATTGAAAATTCAATTTTTTTTTTTTTTTTTTTTTTTTTTTTTTTTTTTAACGAAATTACCGAAAGTTGAAAATGAATTCTTATCGTTATTCAAAATTAATTAATCCGTTAACACTCGTTTAGAATAACATTTCCATGAATTTAAAATGAATATCAGTTTTGATAAAATATAAGTGTACACCTTAAGTCTACGAATATAATAAGCTAAAAATCAAATATAATGTATAAATATATAAAAATAATTGATAAATAATCAAAAGAAATATGCAGATGTTATTGATTAATAATCAAGAGAAATTTATGGGAAATGATCGGATTCTATACGGAACTATGATGATTGAACAAAATGTCAAAAATTATACGAGGATAGCCATCAATGCTTATCAAAATATAATATAGCGATTTTTTTTTTTTTTGTTGAAAAACCGAATTTCCGTTTAAGTACAATTATGAGTCATTAAGTTGCTGATGTTTCGTACTTTAACAGCAAAATGAATCTTAAGACGATAATGTAAAAGATATCAGCCTCAATCTCGTATTATTATTTATTGTTAAAACTTTATAATAAAGCTTGAAATAAATGTATAGCAGAATTTTAACGGGAGTATATGCATCGAAATAATGGAAAATTATAATTGTCATAATAAAATTATGAGCGTATATTGGATTCCATTTAGATTTTCATTAATTATAGCCATACACTTTCAACATTATACATTATCTATCATTATTATGTATAATATTCATAATTCAAATATTATCTTATTAATGATAATATACTATAAATTTTTTTTTTTCAAATTAATCATACATTTAATATTTGCATAAGAAGCGAAAATAAAAATCTTTAGCTAAAGAATGATAATAAAAATTTCGCCAATTAAAAGGAATTAAATGTCAATAAAATTGCATTACACATATTTTCAATTTTTGACTACAGGGTTTCTAAACGTCAACGCGGACTCACACTTGCGATCCCCAGCCAATTACGGATTGATGGATCAAATCGCTGCAATGCATTGGGTACAAGAGAATATTGCTTATTTTGGAGGTGATCCGAAAAATGTCACATTGATTGGCCATGGGACCGGCGCTGCCTGTGTCAACTTTTTAATGACAAGCCGTGCTGTGCCAGATGGTAGGAATAATTTTGCTTATTATCAATGATTTATACATTTTATTAATATGATTCTAACGAGTTTCTAGCTTTTATAATAAACGTTAACTAAAAATATATTCTAAACGAAAGAAATATTCCGAAAGTATAATAATAAATATTATTATTTATTTATGTATTTACTACACGATATATGCGAAAAAGTACCAAAGTTTGCCATTATTTTAGAATTATAATTTTGTATATTTAAATGCTAATTAACTTGAATCTTTTGTTAAACATATTATATTTAAAAGTTTTCAATAATTTTATAATTAATTAATTTTATGCGTGCGTGTGTATAGGAATGTGTGAATATTGTAGGTACATATATATATATATATATATATATATGTGTGTGTGTGTGTGTGTATGTGTGTATGTATATATTATGTAGGTAGTACATAGAGTAAATGAGGAAAAGAAGGATAATCGGAAAAAACGATTGGATAATTATACAAGTTTTATTCCAACTCAGTGAACTAAACTAGGCAATAAAAATATTATAAAACTCTCGGTCTTATTCAATACGATAAGACATTTATATACTTCTTAATCCTTATTCCCAACCCTTACGAAAAATGGTTATTATGTATATATATATATATATATATATATATATATATATATATATTGCGGAGAGAAGTAGCCACCTAGTGGTTATCTTTGTACTTACTTTCTGTCAAGCTGCTCATGTTACCTTTCTCAATCTATCTCTTTCTCTCTCACTCAGTCCTCTCTCTACATACATTCGTATATTCGTTCGGGCTTTCGTAACGGCTAGTGATTAGGAAACATAAACAAGCTTTATCGTAGCGTATAAGGCTGAACATTCTATAACATTTTTATTCTCCAGTTTAGTTAACGTATAACACATATTATATATAGACAGCAACAAAATTGTAAATCAATATAAATGATAAAGGTTAACACCACATTCGTCCGATAATTTTGAAGACATTTTTTTAAGTTAAACAAACGTTACAAATATTCTAAGTCTTTATTACCTTAAATACTATTTTGTTAATAAAATGACCTTATGTTATGTTGAAAATCGAATTATCCACAGAATACCCTGTCAATTCTATTGCCATAATAACAATTATTATTATTAATATAATGTAATTTTATTTTTATTCGTGAAGGTTTACTGTTCCATCGAGGCGTCCTTATGTCCGGAAGTGCTTTGTCACCCTGGGCTTTAATAAGGGGAGCTGCTAGTTACGCTACTCAAGTTTCAAAAAATCTCAATTGTTCGGTAAATAATTATATAACTAATTTAATGAATATAGCAGAAGAAAAATTTGTCGCTATTTTATACGGTAAAAATTGATGAAATTCTTTCGACGATTGACAGGAAATGAAATATTTTCAATTTTATGGCCTTTTCCTTCCTTCCTTCCTTCCTTCCATCTTTATATATTAAGTAACAAACATCACATTATCAAATTCTTGATATTGTAAACTTATTAATTTTAGTAATCTGCTGAAGTAAATATGATGTTGTGATTGTAATAATAAAGTGATTTCGTATATATAAAAATATTGGTATACAATTCGACGTGGAGATAGTTCTGATCAATGGGTTATTCTTCAGAATAGCATAATCAATTGTAATTAATTATCAATCATTTTATAATTATTATTTCTATTTTCCATGTAGGACTAACAGTCAACGGGTGTAAAAATTAAGAATTAAATGAATTAAGAAATCAATAACATTTTTTAGTTTAAGCAAAACTAAATTAATCCTAACTCAAAAGCTATTTTATTATCTTATATATTTCTTATTATTTTTCCTTTCTTTTTTTTTTTTTTTTTTTTTTTTTTTTTGTTTCATTTATATTTACACTTATATATATATATATATATATATATATATTATAATTATTTATATAATTTATATAATATCATCTATGTTACTTATCTTTGTTACAAAGTTTTTTGTATTTTTGCATTAATTGCTGAAATGTTGTTGAATGAATTATTTATCATTGATTTTTCTAGTAAGAAAAAATAAAACAATTCATCTTTATTGCCTATAAAGCACTTTAGTTCATTTATAAGTGGTAATTTTTCTAAGATTTTAGCTTTTTTAGTTTGGCTAATTTTAATAATTGCCTGAAAAAGTCAGTAATCTATCTTGGACTCAAAGTTTTTTTCACTACCTGTCAATGAAGCAAATTACGATCATCCCTTATAAATTTTTAGCTCTGAACATTAGAAATTTTAATAGCGTCCAACTCATATTTTACATAATCTATACAAAGCAAACTGTAATATATTTTGTACGTTTTAATACTTATAAAAACGAAATGGTTATTAATTTATATATTTGATAAAATCGTTCTAAATGAAGAAGAAAAAAGCTGCCATTTTTCAAAAGCACACTCAAGATATTAAATATATATTATGCTCCAATCTATAATCTATCGAATTTAATTTACTTTTATCTAACGCAACGCCGACAGTCCATGGGAGATTCGCAAATGCTACTTAAATGTCTAAGAGATGTACCGCTAAATGTATTACTAGCAGTACCAGTTCAAGGTTTGGAATTTGCTCCAGCATTTGGTCCGAGCATAGATGGAGTGGTCATTGATCCTGGCGAGCCCGAGGATCAGGACTATACGCTCCAAGTCGATACGATTAACACGCTGAACAATATTCTTTTAAGAAAGGATGTCATTGCCAAATTGTCGAGGTAAGATTATTGCTTACGCGCATCTCTCATTATTTATTGTATTATATGATACATTAGTGGCCGTAAATTTTACGTAAGCTTTGTACATTTTAAAATATATACAATTCCCGCGTTTTCAATAAGATTTCAATTTAAAAAGGGCTATGGAAATTCATTTTAAAAATTATTTTCTTCCCTAACTTTTGCTTTATTTTTATTTTAATTCAATTTATTATAGTTTTGTAAAATTTTTAATACCTTTTTACCCGTTTCGTGAATAATGATTAATTTACCTCAATTATATTTAATAATAATTAATCCCTTTCAACTGTTTGTCTATGATAATTGTCTGTAATAATTCTATGATCCTATATTTATTATTGTTGCAAATATTATAATTAATATTACCGTGAGTAATAGTACCATATATTTAGATTTTTATACTTGCGTGTGCGCGCGTGAGTGTGTAAATATCCAAGCAATGCGAATTTTCTTTGATCTTTATCGTAAAAGCTTTCTTAATTCTTAATTCTTTGAAACAGAACTTATACCTTTTTAATCTTTGTATCCTTTCTTCCGAGCTGTACATCTCTCTCTCTCTCTCTCTCTCTCTCTCTCTCTCTCTCTCTCTCTCTGTCAGTTGCTGATTTCCCGAAATATAATGTATTATCAATATTGGTATCTTACTATTCATATTTTACTATTTACCACTTTAATATGCAATTTTTAATTTGGTATGTTTCATACACGTTTACATAGATACGACCTTATGGTAGGCGTTGTACGATCTGAAGCATATTTTTCGCTAACAGCCGAAGATGCGCAATATGGTATTGAAGCAGAGCGACGAATGAAAATACTACGAGAATTTGTACGTAATACGTACACATATCATCAACCTGAAATATTGGCAACGATAATCAATGAATATACAGACTGGGAAAGACCAGTTCAACATCCAGTTAATATAAGGTACTAAAACTAAATTTCTTCTTCTTCTTCTTTTATTTATTATTTTTTTTTTTTTATATAATAAAATCGAAAAATATAAGAACAATCCAATGAACATTTTTATGCTTTATAATTAGGGATGAAACACTAGAGGCATTAGGGGATGCAAATACGGTTGCTCCCGCAACTCGTACAGCTGACCTTCACAGTAAATCTCATCGTAACTCTTATCTTTACGTATTCGATTATCAAACAAAATTCGGCGATTATCCTCAAGTAAGTAAATAAAACAAAAATAGATACTTTTATATTTTTTAATTATTTATTTCCACTGGCTACATTGTCATTTTTACCAGAATTTATTTTGAGAGAATAAATGTAAGAATTTAACGTGAACCAATTTTATTTCTAGATCAAAGTAAAAGTTACACTCTCAAATATTCTTTTCTTTTTATTTTTTAACCTTTCTCCCAATCAGTACTTTTCATGGTATAACGCGTATATGTATATATATTACACTAGAACATCAAATTGACGTGAAAAGTTTAAAATACGTAGGAGTATCGAAAATTGAATTTTATCTATGACGAAATTTATCTTTGAGGATGAGGATGTCAGTTTCTCTTTAATTAACCGTAATTGAATCTGCTTTTAGTAATGATTAATCTATTAGCCATTATCCATATCACTAAATGTAAATTCAATCTATAACGTGAAGTAAAGAATCGCAATGAGAATAATTCAATTATTTATATCAGATCATAAAGTGACATAAATCAATGGTTATAAAATTAAATTGCATTGTCAATAATATGAAACTCCAAAGATGATGGTAAGTTGGGTAGGATTCGAGTAGTTCTATCGAGTAGTTTTGACAATCACTTTAATGCAAGATATAAGGGAACAAATGGAAAAACACAATATCCATAAGACAAGAAGCGATGTATCCTATTTGATTATTCACACGGAGCATTAGAAAATACAGGGATGCACGTAGAACTTAAAAATATTCTTTGTCCACAAAAGTGCCAAATTGATACATGTGAGCGGTACTTGATAACGTATACACTTCATATTTCAAATCCACGAGTTCATATTTAAGAGACAAACAAAATAATAAATATTGTCTCGCGAACAAAGCTACTAACGTTATAAAATGCATATTTTGCATCGTTAAATGCTGATCTCAAGGAAAAGGTTGGGAGACAAGCATAGTTTATCGTAAGAGACCGTAGCCATTTATATGCCGGTAAGGTTATACATCATACGTGATCTGAAATATCGTTATTCCGGTTAGATTTAGTGGATGGCCTTCTTATCGTACCTCTCTCTTCATTCGAAGAATCGAGCACTAGAATATAGCAGCAGTAGACGTCTGAATCTAAAACACATCGATCAATCTGCCAATCCCGCTGGCAATCCTTGAATCGTACCATTTTACAGACACCCAGGTAACGATGCGCTTCCAGGGCGAATAACAAATGCCACTGAGTTTTGATTTTATAGGATGTACTCGTCCGTCGATCGTCATTTTCTCGCGATAATACAGATTAAGATAAGAAAAAGAAGAAGAAGAAAAAAGATGAGATAATTAACGTAAGACTCCCGATATACGTGTTTAATCGACAAAAGTTCCACACTACTTTTACCTAGACCTTCATGAGAGATACGCGCACTATCATCGCACTTGACGTGTATGAATCTCATACACGTATCTAGATAAACGTAATAAAAATCTACAATATATATATAAATACTAATAAAAACATTCCGTTCTATTAACAAAGATTTTGACCTTTTTAATGGATTTTTTATTTAAAAAATCCATCGTAATTATGTAATTCTACGATGCAATCTAACTACACAATATATTTTCTATATACTATAATATATAATACCATTGTAAGATAATAATAATTTTATAATACATTAATTTTTTGTAATATAAATTATTATTCCGTTATTCCGCTTACACTGAAGCTCTTAAAATGATTTCTATAACTAACAAAAGTTTGAACTTTCTTAATAAGCTTGAAAATATTTTAAAGGAATATTTTAATAAAATTTAGTTTATTTTTTGATTATTTTTTATGTTCATAAATGACGTTAGTAAGTGGAAAATTTGCATTTACTTTTAACAAAAATTTTATAGCTCCGAATTTTAAAGACATGTTTAAATTCAATCAAATTCGATTAAATAATTATTCTTCCGCGTTCCATTCACATTCAATACAACAATCAATCATTAAATATCTCATAAAACTTTAATAGATCCATTGATATAAAATAGATATAAAATAATAATTTATTAGAATTAATTGACTTATTGCAAATCTGGACGAAAACGCAAATTGCTAAGCATTAATCGAAATCGTCCAGCACCTTCCTCTATTACAATAATCCTCCCATTAAAAACAATATATCACTCCCACAATTAAGTGACTATTAATTTCTTCAACATAAATCGTTTCTCATTCTTATTTGACCACGACAGCGCCAGGGCTGCATTCACGGCGAGGAGTTGCCGTACTTTTTTGGAGCGCCGCTCGTCTCCAGCTTAGCACACTGGCCCCGGAACTACACGAGAACGGAAATTGGCCTCTCCGAAAGTATTATACTATACCTCGCGAATTTCGCGAGAACCGGGTAAGTTATATGACTATTTCATTAGAAGAAACATTTCGAGTGGTGTTTTAAATAAAATTCAACCGTCTCTTGCTCAATTAAGAAACTTTTCAAACAGCATTTGTTCGTACAGTAATTGAAATAAATTTCATATATGCTTAATACCTGAATAGTTGAAAGTTTTTTCAATGTACTCTTAGTACTGTTATGTATTTAACGAAATATTCTTGTATAATTGAGCTGTTGAATTAATGCTACGAGAACCATATTTTATATAACGTCAAATTTTATCACACAATCTGAAAATTTATAATTCAAAATTTATTATAGTTTAGCCCAACTGCACAATGTATTGAAAAATCTAAACTTTTTTTTATTTATCTTTAGTTATTCAGACTTTTATACTAAAAAATCAATAAAGAATAGGTCGTATTAAACAAAGCTAACGCTCTTTAGAATTATTATAATATTGTTTTAAATGAATGTAAAGTCATTTACTAATGGTTTATAAATTTCATTCATAAATCATTTGTGAACATTTGAAGTGTTTGATGCCGCGAAACAGAGAGAAGCTATTATTCGAGCATTTTTACTCGCGATTTCATTATATTTAATAATTATTGTATGATGTACTTATAAAATAATAATAAATTTCTGATTATAGTTCTTAAAACAGATTAAAACAGATAAACAGCATCCTTTTTCGTTGCCTTTTGCTAATTCATCGTGCATTGTCATGTTGCGATGCCAACATCAAATACAATATTAATAATTATTATATTATTATTATATTATCCATATTATTATATTATTTCTACTGTTGCATATAAGATGTAATATTTTGCTTAAGTAATCCGAACGTGGGCACGCCAGAACCAGGATTGCCAAACTCTCGACCCGAACGGACAAAATTGAAGAACCTCGAGTGGACAGCTTACGAAGCCATGCATAAAAAGTACCTTAGTATAGGTAAGTCTATTAAAGCTGCATACATGCATACGGATAAATTATATGGATATAGTATATCTATATAGATAAAGTATATGGATAAATTAAAATTTACCTCTTATATTGCCAATGGTGATTAATTCTATCTCACGTAGCATATATATTCTGAATATCATTGATATAAATAAAATTAATTGTCTTTATTATAATTATAAATTAAGTTTTAATATTAATTTTTAATTATCAAAATTTGATTACAAGTTAATGTATTAGCATTTATTAGCGACTATTAAAGTTCTTTTAAACGATATAAAACAAATTAACAAGTTACTTTAATTTTTTTTTTTTTTTTTTTTTTTTTTTTTTTTTTTTTTTTTTTTTTATAAATCGTCGATATTTTAACTAAGTATTCTGTTATATTCATTGATATTAAAATAAGTAATAGGTAGTCTTCTATAAATTAGAAGAGAGTAATTTGATGTAGTTGAACTGATTTTGCTCCCATTTATTATTTATTCCACCAAAGCTTTATCGAAATTTTGGACTTTTGCGCATTTAAAACTAAGTATTATATTTATACTTCATTTACTTTTATTATTATAATTAAATAGAAATTAGTTATTTATTAAGCAATTTTCTTGAATTTATTAATTTAACTTTTCATGTAAATTACATCTAATAATATTTCAACTAATTACAGATATAAAATCAAAACTGAAAAATCATTATAGAGCTCACCGACTGTCATTTTGGTTAAATTTGGTTCCTGATTTGCACAAACCAGGAACTGATGATGTTCCAAGATCTCATCATCTACTGGATTCAGAACAGGTTTCTTATTTTAGCTCTGTTTCTATTTTCAATTCAGATCCGCAGAACTTAATTAAATATATTATTGATTATTATTGTAAGGTAGAATTTTATATACGAACTAATGGACGAATAAATAATAAAGAAGTAATTTTTTAATATTTAGCAATTAATCCAATGAGAGCAATTATGTTAAATGTTTTAGGATATTTTGCCTATGTATTTAAATTTATTAATTTAAAAGTAAAATATATATTAAATGTCCATAATTTAAAAAATATTATTAAAGTATTTTAGAATTTTTTTAATTGAATCGGCAACTCCGAAAATTTTGTAATTATATTAGTTTTTAAGATTAAGTTTCTCCAACTCTTTTGATGTATATCTTAATCCTTGATACTTTCATAAAAATATCAGTCGGTACAAAACCTTTATATCAAAAGTTTTAATTTCTCTGTCTTCTAAAAGATACTAAATTTGTTTATTTTATTTTCTACGAATCCCTTTTATACATATGCCATGGCCCATTCCCAAGCTAACGTTACAACTTAAATAAGACAAAAAGTATTAATAAACGGAATTTACTGGAAACCCTGATAAAAAAAAAAAAAAAACTTTTAATGAAAAAAGAAGGCAAAAATAAACACAAATCAAACAAATTTTTTTATAGGTAAGAAAATCGTATAAGATCTATCGATTATCAATTTCTCTAATAACTTTTATTTTTTCGAGCCTTTGTATTTACAATCGACGTCGGTGAAAAAGTTTCATAAAATGAGTGTGCTTGAACAAAGGAAAAAGCTTACTAACTTTTATAAATATAAATTATTATTAACTATATAGTAAAATTAAAAAAAAAAAATATATATATATATATATATATATATATATATATATTAAAATAAAAAATTAATTATTTAGTATTTTCCAAATAATTAATAAATATAATATATATTTTATTGACATTTTAATTATAATAAATTAAAGAGTATTTTTATTATAATAATAGATTGCAGAAAATAACATGAAATTAATTTCTCTAACTTCTTCTGATTATATTATTTAAAATACGAATAATATTTAAAATATTTTTTATTGCCATTAACAAACTTTTATTTCATACGATACGTTATTATTATACGTTATACATTACATATTATACGTTAAATTGAAATGACATATATGATATTAACAATTTATTATCTCAATTATTCAGATAATATTATCAAGCTTTGCTGAAACTAACTATACTCCTTTCATTTACTCATACGCTCTTATCATTTCAGTAATGAAAAATAGTAAAACTTTTCTACGATTAAAATTTATATTACTTCTCGTACTATTGATAAAGTTTTTTCTAAATTTCAAAAAATTCTAACATAAAAGTTAATGATAATATTGAATTAAAAACTTTTCACTTGTGATTATAACTCGCAGACCTGGAAAAACCGCTGTTCAAATGTAAAATGAAAAAAAACTGAAATGCTCGTTTTATCGTTCACAAGGTCCCACCGCGTTTCATTCAAAGGCTCCCAACGACATCAACGAACCCAACAACAACACTCGAGACAACAAGCGAGCGAACGGTTAATACAACTTCAGCCCACCCTAGTGAACTCGCATTCGAAGAATCGACCAGCCAACCAGAGGATGGCTTTGCCGCCTACAGCACTGCCCTTAGTGTGACCATCGCGATCGGCTGCAGCTTGCTTATTCTCAATGTACTTATTTTCGCAGGAGTGTATTACCAACGCGACAAGAACAATCCCCAGCATTACCCAAAAAAGTGTCAAGAAAATGGTCAGATGCCAAATAATATATGTGGTGAATTAGGTAATGTATTTTTATCAGAATAATTTTTCAGTCTTTTCTAACGATAGAGCATAAAGTCTTTAATTTGTTTACGAGTTTTGTATGATCGTTGGATGTTGTATTATTGTACGTATCTATAATATTAAATGACTGTAATATCTTTAATGACTGTAATGAACATGAAATAAAATTAATATATTTTCAGCGGTATACTTAGATGGATTTGAGTAAAAAAAAAAAAAAAATGACTATAATATAACTGGATTGTAAACGTTATTACATTTACATTTTTTGCAAAATAAATTAACGATAAAATGTATAAAAAATACTTGTTATTTAGATAAATATTAATACATTTTTTCGACATCAGCGACAAAAAATTCCAAAATCTTATATTCAAAAATTCAAAAATCCCTACGTTCTACGTAATGTAGAGAGAATTTTTCTAAATTTTTTGATTTTTTATTTATTTGTTTATTTAATTTTATTATTATTTTATTTAATAATTTGAACTATTTTGAATTTTGCAAATATTTTCGTCAAATTGAATGAGATCGGAAAAAAATTAATTTTCAAGCACTTAAAAATGTTTTTATAACTTGCAGGACAATCGTGAAAATTTTAAGAAATATTATTATTGAGCGATAATTGCTAAAATATTGATTAATATTGTTAAAATCACAAATGACAATTATTTTTCACCCTATAACACGCTATAAATTTCTGTCTAACTAACAAAAGTTTCCTGTTTTATTTATGCAGAAAGTAAGGGAGAGCGACGACACATTCAACATATGCCGCCTCCTGTTTTCGCCGATTCGCAAAATAACAGTTGTCACGTACCGATGCCACCGCCTCCGCCGAAAAACTCTAAGCCGAGCAAGCAACAACAAACTATTCTATCCAACCAGAATCTCATAATTAGTCCTAACCACCTGCAACAGGTAGATAACCTGTCAACAGCAGGCTCGAGTACAATAAAGAAATCAATGCATCACGATAGCCAATCTCACACTATGGAGGAGTTGAGAGTCTGAAACGACGAATTGCAAGAGCCTGCATTCTCTTGCGAATTCATATAGAAAATTTAATATAAACTTATACATGCGCATGTATAAATAAGTGTGTGTGTGCGCGCGCGTTTGTGTACGCATCCATATAATACGGCATAATACATAAGTGGGCATATATATATACGAATATGTACATAAGAAAATATTAGTCGACAAAAGTCGGAGGAAAATTGTGTTCTTTTTACTTGACCATAAGAAATGTAATGCAGTTTCTTAAAATCGTCATTAAATGCATCATCATTAAAAAAAGGCCAATAAGACTAATGATTATAATAATTAATTATATAGGAATTATCATTCAGTTTATAGAAGATATCAGGTTAAACATAAATTGAAGAATAAATACATAATTCTTTTTAATTTTGTTTAATATTGTTTTAAATCTTCATTATACGCATTATGCGCATTTTTTGTATAATACATTATACAAGATTTCAAATGAAATATTATTTATAATATTTACATCCATTTATTACTATATCATTTTATAGTGAATAAAAAAATATATATTAAATAAAAACGCGATAAGAAGGTGATAATTAAGGCCTTTTTTAACTACACTCCACTATATTTTATTATTCTTTTCGCAAAACTAATGTCACCTCTCACATACTCTCACATATAGCAATATCATATCAATATGTACCAGATTATATCGCTGTTTTGTTACTTTGCTTGCAATATAACTATTTATATTTATGAAATAGTGGTGGTAAGAAAAAGTGACTTGTATTAAAATTATAATAGTATTAAAAAATCTAATTGTCATAGATATTTTTATACTTATAAAACTAAAAAATTTATGATAATTTTTAGTAATAAAAATATTTTAATTTACTAATATTTGTCCGCTGCTATAATAATGTTATGTTATTTTTTGCTTATATTAATTAATCAAAATAAAAGCTGCTGAACATCATCTGATATAAAAACTTGGCGTGTTCAAAATACAAACTTCATATTGAACAATCTACTTTGTAGATTTCTGTGAGTCTAGAATATTTAAGAACATAGTTTTTTACAACAAGAATGCTCTACTTAGTAGATCAGTGATTCCTATTATTTATATATTTTTTCATTTGTATTAACGAATGAAAAAAAGAAATTATTCTAATACAGTAAATCTATAGTATAAATAATAATTCGTGTATATTAAAATGTAGTTATAATATATACAATACTTTAAAAAAGTACTTACAAAACAATTTTATAAATCATTTAAATCTTTTTTATGTGTGTGTATATATATATATATATATATATATATATATATATATATATATATTAAATAACTTAAAAGTGTATATTCAATATTAAAATAATATAATAATATAATTGAAGTATAAGATTTTTATTCAATGTATAGAAGATACAAGTTCAATATGTGAAATAGCTACATTTGAAATTTCTGTGAATCCAATCATTCTTTTCATCCAATCATCATTATTTTATTTTAAAGGTATCTAAATAAGACATTCTATTTTTTGAAAATATAAATAGATTTCTTATAAAATATTATATTAAAAAACAATTATGCAATCATATTGATTACATAATTTGTCATTATTATTGTAATAAATATAATAATACGTATGATCATGATCATAATGATAATGGAAATGATAATTATGAGAATCAATGATGGAAATGATGGAATCCTCGTTTAGATTTGTGCATTGAATTACGAAATGCAATTAGCTGAGGCTATTAAGATAATGTTTTATGAATATCTTCGGATCGACCATAGTTTTAAAATATTTGGTAATGCCAAGAACATTTCCAAATAAATCTATTGATCGAATATGTATCGGTTAGTCTATGTACCCAAGAAGAAGGAAGTTTTTTTTATAAATGACTAAATTTATAAAAGTCTGTTACAAATTATTATTAACTTTAATAATTATTCCTCTTGAATAATTGAATTACTAAAAATAAAATCGATACAAATAATGATTTTGCTTGTTGAAAAAAATTATACTACAATATTCATTAAAAAAGTCAAAACACAGATTATTAATATTATAATATGTACGTTTAAATACGTACCAAAAAGTGTATAAAACTATTAACAAAATTTCAAATAATTTTTACAAATGTACCCAATATTTTATGAATTTATTCAATTGAAAATGTAAATTCAATTTTTTGTAATTATGTTCATAATTACATTCAAAATATTATCTAGTGATTTTAAAATAATGATGTGCAAGATAGCAATATCATTTTTTATAATTTTCACATAAATTTTGTAAATAACTATCAAACTGTATATAGCAATGATAAATAAAAAAAAAAAACTACTTATCGAAACATATATAATGAGAAAAAGTACTAATCAATTAAAATTATGCCGATTTTTATGAGAATTCCTTGAAATTTTTAGTTAATAAGTAAATATGATAAAAATGATTATTGTTTATATTTATATATAACAAAAATTAGAATTAATAAATAATGTAAAATAAATATTATAAAGTATGTTGTGAAATATTTATCAAAATGTTATAGTGCTGTGAATATACTTTTTCAGTTTTATTAATCTTTTTATTGAAACGAAATAAACAGAATATTTTTATTTAATAGATAAATATATCGAAACGTAAGTGTATAATATTTATTCTAGGTAACATTTCATAATGTACGATTATGTATAATATTATTCATTTTTTATATAGTAAATTAAACGATCTCATTATTTCTCACAATAATAAACATTTCTATACTTTGTTGTATAAAACAGTTTATAAAAATTCAATAAACATTGACTGTTTTTAAAAAGTGTATATATTTAACATGTAATTCGTTTTGAAAGTAAAAACTTGCATATTGATAGGAGAAACCCTACAGTATCAGAAAAAAAATACCTAAAAATAAATAACAGCAATAACTTGTATTAAACAATACAAAAAAAATTCTATGCTTGTTTAAAATACCTTATGCTATTCATTTTACGCCTTGTTATACATTACAAATGAAGTTTTTATTTGCAAAAAGGACGAGAAAATTAATTTTCTTTTAACTGTAAATAATAAATAAACGATATGATACTTACATACACTATAATCATATAAAATTGAACATTACCTCTAAAAAAAATTGTAAAAAATGATGAACAATATTGGTAATCAAGAATCAAAATTCAATATTAAGAGCAAATGATAAATAGTATATAATTTTTCAAATAAATACAAATCATTATTTCATTTCAAAATTTGAAGTACTTCGAATTCTATCTTTTATTGCTTAAATAAATTATAATATTTATATTTTTTAAATTAGATTCGGACTTAAGCAGACAATATTATTTACAATAGCCTCGTCGCAATTCATATTCAGCATTATCGATATAATTTCTTTTTTTTTAAGTAACAACAAATTACAACTGTAAAGCAAAACAGCACTAATTAAAACGAAATTGCTTCGCGTAGTAGCTAATTTTCAACAACAAAACATGAATTTATATATCTTTATATATTTATATTCATTAACTTTCAAGATAACAATAAATTTAAACATAAAGATTTTTACATTTTTATTTTAGTTCCGTTTAACAATTTAAAAACCCATGGATTAAAAATCGTCAAGTGTAAAAATTTTACATTTTAATTTTTCTATAATAAATTCATTAATTTAAATATGGTTAGAACGTCATAAAAAAATTACCATTTTTTGCAAATGCCACACGCTATAATTGCATTAGATTTTTAAGGCTAAATTATAATTATATATTTAATATTTATAAATGCATTGATTTTCTTTATAAACTAAATTCATAAAACATTATCACTAATCTTATCTCAAAATAAAAATATATCTTTACAATGACACAATATCATTCATTATTAATCATTACCACTCATGTATCGTAATTGTGTACATAGTGAATTTTTATTGTGATGCAAAAAATGTTTAAAAATTAAATTGATATTTGAAAAACTACTAATCGTAAAATGAAAGTGTAATAAATACATGCACTTTTATGTTTAGATTATTTTAAATTTTAATTTTAAGATATTTGTAAAAATAAAAAGGACAAATTCACATTTATATCAACTATTGAACCTAATTAAAATATAAATTATGATTATACCAATTAATGTACATTATATAGAATTAGAAATCTTTCAAAAAATAAAATAGAAATAAAATTATCAAGAAAACTTAACTCTCCGGTTTTCAATTTTCCAATCTCCAATATCATACTTTTTTTTTAAAAAGAAATTCACTAATATTTCACGATATATAATCATCAAAATAAAGGTTTCATATTATTTGTGCGTGGACATAAAAAATTTACATTACATTTAAGGAAACACTGTATTACATAAAAATTCAATGAAACGTAATTGATGTAAAAAAAAAAATTGAAGAAATCATTAAAGATTTTATTAATAATAATTATCTACTTTCTATTGTTTGAATAATAAATACTTGATAATGTAGAATAAATTATATTTCACATTTTACATATGACACATTACTAATGAAATATTAGCACTGTCTTGGAAATTTCAAGAAAACATTAATTTATTCAATATAAATAAATATTCATTGTCGATTAACAAAATTTAATTTTGTGATTTAACGAAAACCTATAAGCATTTAATAAATAATGAAATGAATTAAGCTTTTTAAAATATCATTCTGTTCGAAAGTGATGTAGATTTCCTAGCTCGAACTGCCAATGCTTCGATAGCTTATTTTTACCGCTCGCCCTAGCAAATGCTCGGGAAGGAGTTATGTGGAAGGGCTGTAGAAATATCATGAGTTTTGATGATTATATGATTTATTTTACAATTACATTATCGGTGTGTATTGGATGTATCTTAAGTTTAATTGTGAAGATGCGATTTCTTGTGATGGATGTTTCACTATACAAGATGCTCCTTGAGATCGAGATGTTGTTGTTGATTTTGTAAGCATTCCTTTCGGCGAGTGTTATATATATATATATATTGTTTAATGATCGCGTCATCACAGTCATGGACGGACT